GCCTAAAACAGGACTAGAACTCCCAATCTCCCGGTGATTGGCCCAAAGTCACCCAGCTGGCTTTCGTGCCTAAGGCAGGACTAGAAGTCACAGACTCCTGGTGATTGGCCCAAAGGACAGGTTAAAAAGGAATATAAATAAATAAACAAAGTTAACCGGTCAGCTTTCATGGCTAAGGTGGGACTAGAACTCCCTGTTTCTAGGAATTCTAGCCCAGCACCTTAATCCATACTGCCTCTCAACGATGCAGGAATTGGGAAGGGCAGAAGGATAATCAAGGAAGGACAAACAGCGGTGCAGATGGGGGTTTTAAAAAGGGGGGGATGAAGACCACCCCAGCACACACACATCCATGCTGGGGGGGGGGGCAGCACAGGGAAATGCAACCAGCCCCTTCCTTCAGGGCCCCCCCCCCCTGACCCCAGGAAATTGCTTGTTTCACCAGCAGCGAAAGAGTCAGCCTGTCAGTTTTTGTGTTTCCCTGTTTCTCAGTCCTTGGCACAAGTCCCCGTTTTTTTATGTAAGCGATATAATCGCTTAATACTCACTCGGGAACATGCAGAGAATCGCACAAACACACACGCCTGCGTACGCACGCACCCCAGCTTGTTATATCAATAGTCCTAAAAGACTTTGGTTTTTAAAAACAAACATAAACAAACAAAACATAAAAACATCAAGCTATCTTCCATAGGTGTGCATAAATTAAAAAAAAAGAAAAAAGAAATAGTCCTGAAAGACTTTGAGAGGCGGCTGGGGGCCCTGGGGGCGGTCACCACGGAGGGTGAACACACTGGACACCTCACTCGGGGTCTCTCTTTCTCCCTGCTTTCCAGGTGTTCCTCCTCCAGGTGGGACTGCCTCCGCCCACCACAAAAGCCACAGGGTGGAGCTGCAGCTGGGAAAGGCTGAGGACGGGCCACCTTGAGGCTCAGCGTCCCGCCCAAAGGCCCAGCACACATATTTCCTCTTCACCCTTTCCTCAGGCTGGCATGGGCAGACATTTCAGCAGTGGCTGTTGTCCCCATCTTTTGCCAAGTGACCCTCGGGTTGCCGAGCTAAAGAGAAATTCCTGAAGAGGAGCACCAGCACAAGTCCAAAATTTTCGGGAGACAAAAACTCTGGTTCCGGTGACCGACCCAGATTGGATCCTGCAACATTCAGTTTCCCTTAACTCAAGAACACCGAGAGCCCCAGGCTGTTCAGGAAGGTGGCGGTATTGGTGGCCATTAACCCAACGTTTAATCACGCCTGACCTCACCTGGACACAGTACAATTAGGCCACTGGGCCATGCCCTCGCTGACCCAGCTACCACGGCCATTCCACCTGGCTGCGTTCCTGAGGAGATGAGGGCATTGCGTGCCCGGAGCATGCCAAGGGTGTGTTGGAAAAAAAACAACCCAGGTGAGTTTGGATGGGATGGAAAAATGGGAGGGTACAGAGGACAAGAAGTGGGTCTGAGAAGATTTGGATTTTTCGAGTTGCACAACTGCTGAGGTTGCAGAGGAGACTTCTGCACAGCCAGGAGGGGGAAGCCAAATGGTGGGTGAACTGCCAATCAACACCCCCCCACACACACACCCTTAATAAAAATTACCTGCTAACAGATTTAGCAATTTAGCAAACAGAGGCCAAACTGGGCAGGACAAGAGAGGTCACAGGTTGTGTGAAGGCTGCGTTTAAGATAACGTCTGGCCTCTATATCGCTACTTCGAGAAATCTCTCTTTTTCGTGTTGATTTTGGTTCACTCACCTTTCAGTGCTGGTTGCATCAAATGAAGGCTCAACACCCACCCACCCCGATTTTCCTAGTTCCATGGAAAATGCAGTGCCCCTTGCCCAAAATTGGAAGAGTGATAAGATACTAACAGAGGGGAAAACAATTGAAAAAGTACTTGGATGTGCAGAAATGAATAGAATGACACTAGAAATTAAGAAAAAAAAGAAGAAGAATCTGAATATTATATGGTATGGGATTTGTTTTACCAATGGATAGAAAATAGAATAAACTAAAAGGGACCAGATGTAATAAGAGGAATTAATGGAATAGGTATATTGGATTTCATTTGTACTATGTATATATGGGAACGCAATTATTGTTACGTTGTTAAGTTGAATAAGAATAATATTAATAATGATTAAGTAATTTGAAATATGTACCTAATCAACGCACGGTAGAAATGTAATGGATTTTGTGTGTGTGTGTGTGTGTGTATCACACACACACACACACACACACACACTTCTGTATACGAAAACACACACACACCCCTATATATACATGCACACACGTATATGTATACATATACATACATACATACGTACATACACACACACACACACACACACAAAACAAAACAAAAGAAAAAGGAAATGCAGAGCCCCCTTCCACCCCGCAACCCAGTTCAAATTGTGGCGACTCTTACCGGATTCTCCTTGCTCAGGAGGTCTGTCTGGCTGTCAGTCCACTCCCACTGCTGAACGGAGGAACGGCTAGTGGGGCGCAGGGATGGGGTGATGACCTCCGGCGTGGAGCCATGCATGCCAGGGCCCGGGGAATGCCCCCCTTTCCGGCTGTAGGAGTCCAAGTAATCCTGGACGTAATCCGAGTGTCTGCTGGGCTGGTAAATTCCTTGGATGCTGCAGAGCTCTTGTCGGGGACGGGCGGTGAAGGGGCTGCGGGTGGAGGTGGAAGGGTAGGGGTCTGAGGACAGGTGCATGGAGGAGAGATCCCGTGCCAAGTCGGAATGGCTGCTGGACTTCTTGCGTCCCAGCGGGGTGGAGCCATAGCTGGTCGAGGGCGCGTTCCCAAAGGAGTAGGTGGCCCCTCCACTCAGCCCTCCAGAGGGCCTCACGGGGACCCGGCTATACCCAGGGCTCAACCTGGTGCCCGAGTCCGGGCGCTGGAGCAGCCTCCCTCCCCCATCGAAGTTCAAGGAAGAGGAGGTGGTGGCCCCCGACGTCCGCAGGTGGGTAGAAGTCAAGTAGCTGGAAGGAGTGGTGGGCTTGTAGTTGAGCTTCTCTTTGTCTGAGTAGGAGGAGGAGAATTTCGACGAGTAGGAGGAATAGGTGGCATAGCTGGTGGAGGCTTTGCTGCAAGGCAAGGTGTCCGAGTAGCGGGGAGAATCCACATAGCGCTTCAAGGTGGAAGAGAGCTGGGACATCCTGAGGGAGGGGGCGCTGGGGGAGATGCGGGTGGCATTGACTGAAAGAGAGCAAAGGCAGGAACCAGTTAGCAGGAGGGGCTGGCACAAAGGGGGTCCTTGACCCCCTTCAGGGTCAGCAGAAAGGAAAGAACCAATGGCCTTCCAACAATGGTTGGCCAACGGATTCTTCATGGCATGCCATTGACTGAATCCACGAAGTCAACTGGGAATATCTACTAGCCAACCAGGCATGATCCAAGAAGCCAAGAAGGGTTGACTCTGGTCAGTTCTTGGGAGGAGAAGCGTCTGGTATGGGGGGACCAGGA